TTTCTACTTTTTCTGTAGGTGCTGAGTCAGAGGGTCAAGGAGGGGCCTGAGAGTTGTCTGGATGTGGATGCTCAGGGTGACAGCGGGAGAGCTGGCTCATATTTGTGGCTTCACAAATAGCACTCCTCCCTGGGGTTCTGGCCCTGAGACTCTGCAGCCTGTGTGCATTTCATGAGGTCAGTACCAGCCTGGTGGTGGCGGTGGGGAAAGAGAGGAGTGGTCCAGCACAAGTTCCTTGTTCTTTTCACTGGGATCCCAGACTCTGGAGAGCACCCCAGGTCCTCTGCATGCATCTACCTTCAGTCAGAGGTGTGTACTTCCACACCATCTGGCTCTTCGCTAACCAGGAGCACTGGCTGACAGTAGCACCACAATCTCCTGCAGCCTCCCTTCCCTGAACTGCCGCCTCAAAGCACCTCTCTCCATCTACCTCTTGTCAGTGAAGTATGATTCTCCTTTGTGTCTCTTCTAGTGCAGTCTGTGCTGGTCTCTGATTTCCAAAGGTGTTTGAGTTTCACCACAAGCCACACGACCCTCTAGATGTATTTTTCCTCGTGTTAACCGAGATGATTCTCTAGGCAGCAAAGCAAAGAATCTCTGACACCATTTTGGTTCCACTTTCCTTGTTTACTTTTTTCCAGAAGATTTTTAACCTTACATGAAACTAGCTTTAAGGACAGTGTTCTTCCCCAGAAAGGAACATGTACCCTTATGCTTTGTATATAATCTATCAGAAGACTATTATTCTTACATGAGCTCCATATTCAACACAGTATAACTTCAGAAAGTGGAACTCTTCCAGATTTCTAGTATTACCTGAAAGTTATTTTCAGCACAAGAATCCTTTCTGTGAATGAAACATGGAACTTTGTCTTTCCACCCAAAGTTTCTGACGGTACTTGCAATGGCATTTAGTGTTGTGTTCATTCCATGAAAACCATTTGTCACTATATGTTTCTCACAGAGCTCAACACTGAGGCACAGCGAGGATTTTTGAAAATAGGATCTTGACTCAGATGGATGTACCAAGAAGGTGATGCATATAAGTAATAGGTAGAAGGACAAAATTAATTTATTCTATGATTTCTAATGATGTTATCTTCTAGCTATGGTACTCAGTTTAATAAGAAATCAAATTGATAATGAATTAAGAATACTTCATTTTTTCATTGTGACTGACTTTTGGTAATTTGACAATGCTGTGTCATTGTGCCTTTAGAAATAGGAGTGTTCTTTCAGCTTCTGAATTTTTGTGGTAACTTCTTTCCTTAGGTTTGGGAAGTTTTCAACTTTCTTTGAATATGGTTTCTGCTCTTGTCTGGATCTCTTCACCCTCTGGGATAACCATTATCTTTATGTTCCCTCTTCTAATAGAGTCAGCAATTTTTTGTAATGTTTCTTCATTTTTGCTAAGTCTTATTTATCTCTTCTTCCACATAGGTCATTTGTTCATTTTTATTCTATTTCACAAATTCTTTTCTCTGTAAGATTTAGCCTACTTATTTACTATGCTTTCCATGTTTGTCTTTACTTCATTCAGTATTTGTTTGAGCTTTCTTAAAAAATACCCTCAACCTCTTTCATGAGGAACTCTTTCTACTCCTGGATAACTTTTCTGGACTTACCTTTCTGTGTTTCATTGAGATTCTAGAATTTCATTGAATTTCTTCATAAAAGTTATCCTGGGGCCTCCCTGGTGGCGCAAGGGGTTGAGTCTCAGCACTATGTAGCTATCAGCAGCCACTGTAGCATGAATTTGTTCCCCAGCCAGGGAGCTGATCCACATGGCACAGCAGACCTCTCCTGTCTTACCTGCTGCTCCTCTCAGTAGTGTATTTCAGTCGCTCTGCCTGTTCTGCTTCCCATTCTGTCTCTGGTGAATCGTCTCATGCACCCCTCACATCTGGCTTATACCCCACTTCTTCTATGCATAAATAATCTTTTTTTTTTTAACTATCCTAAAATCTTTGTTTGCTAGGCCTTAAGTCCTAAATCGTTTATATGGATCTGTGAATTTTTATTCTTCTCTTTAAGCTTCCCCATCTTATGTTGTCAGGTTCCTTTTTCCCTAAGGATAAATGTTGCCTTACTCAGTTTTTCCAGATGGAACACTGAGGCTTTAGTGTTGTTTGTTTAATCTTTGTTTCACTTGGTGGTATGTGGAGAAGGAGGGAATGTGAAACTATGAAGGCAAATTCAGTCTTGAGGGAAAGGGAGGGTTGACCAAGGTGAAGAGTCCTAAACAGCCCCTGGGACCCAAGTATGCACTTACCACTGCACAAAGCCTGCGCTCCAGGCCCCTCCTCCTTGCTCTCCCTTTCTAGGGTGCATGCAGGTCTCTTTCTCTAATATCAGAACAGCTAACTTCTGAAGGAGTGTTGATAAGACTCTATCAGTCAGCTTATCATACTCTCCACGAATGAACCAAAGGTCCCAGCCCCCATGCATGTAGCTCTGCATTTCACCCTCATTGAGAAGATCCCTACAAAAAGTCTGTATATTGCACAGTCCGTACCTGATTCCTAGCTTGTTCAGATTCGGGAATGACCACTGCCCTGGCTGCAACTTGCCTCTCCCTGTACATCACCACAGCAAGCCACCAAACACTAACCTCACAATAAAATATTCCTGAACCAGTGAGCAGTAGTTGTTTTTTTCATGTTATACTTAGGGAAGAGGTGTTTCAAAGTGTCCCTATCGCTGCGATGTTGTGGGTGGAGTCATCTAAATTTTTTTATACTTTATGTTTCCATAGCCTTGCGTGTCAATATTTCACCAGACATCCAGAATAAAAGAAGCAGGCAGGTCAGCCATGTCTGCTGCTAAGTCCCCCAAAGAAACTATACTAAGAAACAAAGGCTGAACACTGGCTAAGGTAAGCAAAAGTATTAGTCTTGTACAATCAACTATCAAATGGGCGGTGGGGTGGGGGAGGGGCATCTGGCTCTGTCCTTCAGGAACAGATTATCATGGCTAAGTGTTGATGCTTCCAACAAATATTATTATGTACATCTGGGTATATCACTGTTTCCTAAAAAGAAGAGATTTTTTAAAAAAATATTTATTTATGCATACAAGAACTGGGGTACAGGCCAGAGGTGCAGGAGGTAAGAGGACCCACCAGACACAGAGTTGGGGAATAGCACAGGCTGATTGACTGAAATGCACTGCTGAGGGGAGCAATAGGCAGGTTAAGACAGGAGAGGTCTGCTGCGCCATGTAAGTCACCTCCCTGGCCAGGGCTGTGGATAAGTTCCACTGTGCTTTAAGCCATTGTGCCACCAGGGAGGGGCCAAAAGAAGAGTTTTTCAGAACCAAACATAACTATTCCAACTACTACTAGTGAGGTGAGCAAATAAAAGCATCAGTGCCCTGTGTTATGCCCAGAGAAATTCTCCCCAAGGAGAAATTTAGTCTCTTTGGCAATGTGGAGCTAAAGAAGCTGGGACTCTAACTTTGAAAATGCTGAGTAATGATTGCAAATTTTAAAACCAACCAACCAATAAACAGAAATATTCAACAAGTAAATCTTTTCCCTAAAGGGCTTATCATCCGCAACTGTTTATTAAAACATAGAAAAAATCCTACCAAGTAGCTAGAAATAATTAAAGTGCCACTTCTAGAAAAGTTGAGGATTTGTTCAAAATTATTCTTTACATTTTTTTAGTCTGCTAATTTTAAGATCTCAAAAGAAGAACTGCTATCACATTCCCCAACTTCAAATTATACTACAAAATGACAATAGTAATAAAACAGTATGGTATTGAAATAAAAACAGATTATGGAACAGAACTGAGACCCCAGAAACTGATATATGGAGCTAATTTTGTGATCCAGTAGCCAAAAGCACAGCTTGGAAAAAAGAAAGTAACTTCAACATATGGCCAACTGGACAGTCACATGCAAGTTAATGATAGCAAGCCAATAGCTAATATCATACACAAAAATTAATTCAAAGTAAATGAAAGACTTGGATGTAAGACCTGAACTCATAAAATGTATAGAAGAAAATGTAGATAATTAACTCATCCACTTTACCCTTAAACATTTTTTTGGGGACTTGCCTACAGTGGCAAGGGAAACACAGCAAAAGTCAATAAATAGGATTATACTAAAGACTTCTGCTGAGCAAAAGAAAACCACCACCAAAATGAAAGGGCAACTTGCTGGCTAGGAGAAGATATTTGCACATTATACATCTGACAGGGAATTGCTATCTGAAATGTATTATACCACTCAGCAACAACAAAAGTCCCAATTTTAAAAAAATGGACAGGAGATGTGAATAAATACTTCTCCAATGAAGACATACCTCACTTATAAGGGAAATGCAAATCAAAACCACAATGAGGTATCAGCTCACACCTGTGAGATTGATATATATATGTGTGTGTGTGTGTAAGTATAAAAGTAGCTACAAAATCTGCCATTCAATATTCTAATAAAAAACTCAATATTTCATCATAATAAAAATGATCAAGAAATGATTATCAGAAGAATTTAATAAGAAAAATGAGCCTAAGAATTAACTTTTCGTGGTATAATGTATCATGCCTAGACACCCCAACAAAGTCCCTAGAACCAACAACCAACAAAGTCCCTCGCTTCTCTTTACATATGAAAATAGTCAAACTTGTGCCCTGGGGCCGTAAGCAGGCATATGGCAAAAAGAATTCCCATAACTAATGAACACTTTTTGCACTGTGCTATATGTTTTTGTACTGTGCTATATGTTTCTCTGAATTTTTTTAGTTTGGCAAATGTTTATTGAATGCTAACTTTGTGCTAGTCTTGGTTCTGAATACCGAGGAACGGCACCTAACACAGGGACAAGATACCGGCTCTCAAAGAGTTTACATTCTAGTTGGTGAAGATGCACAGTACATACACAGATTTTTAAAAGAAGTAGCAGAGTAAAATGCTCTGAAGACAGTCTTAGGAGATAGGGCCAAGAGTGGTGGGTGCTACACACATAGAATGGTAAGAGGACTATTTCTTACGATCTTTGTCCTTCTTTATATTGGTGTACACCTGAGTCTGCAGTGTTTCAGAAGCAGCCTTCATTTTATAAAAGTCTATTATTTCTTCCTCCAGTTGTCTTCTTTCTTCCTCAAGTTTCATTGTCTCCTCTTGTTGAACTCTTTTAAGATGCTCAAACCTCTCCTGTAGCTGTGAAACAAATACACAGTTGTGATTCAAAGCACACCGTAGTGATACATTCCCAGGAGCAAAATAGTGGATTTTTCCCCTTGTTTATGAAACATACCATAATCACCAAAGCAGAGACAGAGCTTAATAAGTCAAAATTCATGATTAAAGTAAAACTTCAGGTATGAACGTCACATATTTTTAAGTATTCCCATTGAAACCAGAAGTATGAAAACACTCAACTTATCAAACATTTTACTTTTCCTAATGCATTACATTTCCTCACTCTACATTTCCCCAATAACTCTTCAAATAAAATTTGATAGATGCTCGCTAAAATTACATTAAATATAGCATGGAGTATGAAATATTCTTTCAGAATTAAATTGATAAAGAACTTTGAAAGAAAGTCTCATAATTCTACCTCTGCCAGTTACTTTATATTTACCTGTGAGGCCTTATTTAATCTGTTGGACTTAAATAAGCCAAATTAGCCATATGAAAAAACATAACCTTGGATTCCATTAAAGATAACCATAGGTCCTTGCCATGACTTTATCAGCAACATAAGGATTGTTTGCATGCATCAGAAGAGGTATGTTTTTTAATGCTCTTGTTTATATGTTGTAAAACTAGTCAGGACATCTTTTGAAAAAATAAACAGGCTGGGGGCTTCCACTACCAAGTATTAATCACTTGTCTTACATGGCAGTGAGAAACACAGTGTTAACACCAGTGGTTTTCAAAACTACATGTCCATTAGAATCATCCAGTGGGTTTGTAAATCTTCCGATGCTCAAGTTACACCGAAAAATTGCCTTAGAATACCTGCAGCTTAAATGCAGGCATCAGTGCCCTTAAAAAATTCTCTAGGTGATTTTAGTGTACAGTAAAGATAGTGCTCTTAGTTCTAAAGATGTGGCTATTTCCTCTACTGGAGTCAGACAGTTCAGCCCTAAGAAGTAAATTAACATGTAGATACAATTGCAAGAAGGATGGTTGGAAAGATTAGAGATCTGATAGTGTGGTATCTGTAAGTGTTAGCAAAGATACTTTTATTTGAAAACGACAGGGTGAGGAAGAGATCATAGAAGCTAGGGCTTCTGTGGAACACCTCAAAGCCTCTGTTTTGGGCTTCACCTGGGCCAAAGACTTAGGCTGCAATCTTGTGTCTTTTCTCCGTAGGGTTCGTGGGTTGGGCTGGCAACCTGCTCCCTTGTGTCCTCCCAGACTGCCCAGCTGCATACCCATCTTCCGTCACACAGATGCTTAGATCTCCCTAATGTCCCTTCTGTGTGTTCTGTGTGGGTTTTAATATAATGGGGTACTTCAGTCTCACCTCTCTGCTGTAGGATTCTGAGTGGTATCCTGTTGCCTAATGGTTGTTGTTCTCTCTCAAGGGAAAGGAAAGCTATAAGTAATGTCATATGTTGCCATCTTAATGTCATGTCTCCCAGTCTTTAAGTACTTGAATATTTTAAAGATGAAAGTTTGAAATCTGCTAAGTCCATCTGCTATTTGTATATAGGAAGTTTTATTTATTTCTGTGAGTCTCCACTTACCTTGTCAGTTCACCTGATTATTTTGTTTTGTTTTAAGTAATTAAGTTGTTACCTTTCCGAACCTGCCAGGTGGCCCTAATCCACTGTCACCTTATTCCCCTATACCCTGAGATTTCTGGTTATTTTATTTCGACCAGCATCACTTGCTCCCTCCTACAGGTATTATCAGACCCTACAACAACCTCTGCTATGCATCACTTTGCACAACCAATTTTGCATAGGTTGTTAGTGGGTCTCCTTTAAAAAAAAAATGTATTTGAAGATGGGAGGATAATTTATCTTCAGCGAACAAAAAATGAAGCAGATATGTAGAAATAAGTTTTATAACTAAAAGAGAAAAGGTAGGGAAGAAAGAGAATATTTAAATGATTGATCCCATTTCTGATCACTTCCTATTTGGGAAGATTAGCAATTATTTAAAATCATCAATTAAGCTTTTGAAATTAAACCTTCCAAATCATAGGATACGAAAAAACGAATACAAATTAAACCCAGCACTTGCCTCTTTTTCGGTTGCTTTAAATGTTGTTTCTTTTTCCTTTACTCTCTGCATAAATTTTTGTTTCAACTCTTCTTCTTCCCTCATACATTGATCATAGAAATCCTGTCTTTTGGCTTCAAATGTCTCTTGAAAACTGAAAAAATGAATTTTCAGTATATTCATATTAAAGTGCTAGTATAAGCATATAAAGTATATTTTTTATGTTATGTTCCTATGGAAATTTCAATATCATAAGATGTAAAAATGAGGACCATAATTCATCTGAGTATATGGTGAACATATAAAAAATACTAGAATTTCTAAATAGTCATGTCAGTGATTTTTTTTGTTCCCATTACTTTTGAATATATCATACTTCATTTTTTGACAATAAAATGTGGGGGAAACTCTAATTTATGTAGTTTTCAAAATAAAATAAATCTAGGCATCGTCCAAAATATGATCCAGTTAAGATAGCCAGCTCAATTTTTGTTGTCTTCAAAGAACCCCAGTAGAAGTAACAGAAATATACTTCACTGTCACACTTTTGTAGCACAAGTCACGTGTCTTTTCAATATAGCTAAATGAACCTACTCTCACTGTTAGTGCTCAGCTTCCATGACTTTACGCTGCTGCTTATCCCTTTTTCTCCTTCCAGTCTTACGTATTCTTTACTATACTTTTCAGTATATTTTTCCTCAATCTTTGTTAGTACTTTTCAATCTCCTTTCTGAGTTCCTGCTTCATATAAAATACAAAAAAATTCTTAAAATTATTTTTAGATACACATTTCAGCATGTAGACATAATAGATACAAACATTTTAGCTTAGGAATAAGCCTTTGCATTATGTTGTTCCTACTATCTTTCTATCTGAATCTAAAGATGACTTGAAGACCTTTAATATAAGATTATCCAGGATTTGAGAAACACAATTATTCTCATTGCCAAATAACTATATCTCATAGATGTAAGGACCTACTTGCTTGCATATTAATTATAAAATAGGGTTATTAATGATATTTGTGTGTATCATTAATTTGCAAGATCTCTACTCACCTGACTGGCTTGTTGTCTGGGCCCACATCAGTAAAGCCCATTTTTTGCAGTTTGTAGCACCTGTAACGTTCATAGTGCTGAACATGAGTTTGTTCTTTCAGATCTTCCATATTTGTACTAAGAAGCATATCTCGGAGCTTAACAAAGTCACAGTGATTTTCATTTTCCACTAGGCAGAAAAATAATAGACCACAGCACTCATTATCAGTCCTTGCAACTTAGCAAGTGTTCTTGAATGAATGCATTCATGACAAACACTTAAATAACAGCTAAGCTATCATCCTGTTAATAGCTATAATCCTTTTTGCCTTGTAAATATGGTTAGATGGTACATAGCAATGGTAAGCAGAGAATTTATAGACCAGAAAACTTGCTTTGAATTTATTAGCCAAAGAATAAATAGGAAACAGTGAAATATCCTATTACTCTATGACATTGGTTTTTATTAGTAATTATGGTAATATTTTACAAGCTACCATCAAGTTATTTCAGAGTATTAACAAAGAATGCAATATAGCTTCCCTAAAGTAAATAATTTCATTAAGCTAAATCCTGTTAACATAAAGGCCATCACAGTTGTATATGCTTTAATGATCAAACACTACTTAAGAATCATATTTATGAGGCTGAATTCATCAGTATTCAAAATCAATTAAAAATTCACATGGCTCTCTCCTATATTTGTCCTATATCAAGAAGACTGAGCACAATCTATTGTGTATGATATTGAAAATTTAATGTTTATTAAGATCTGTTATATTTAAGAATGTGTTATAATTTTTTAAATTCTAGGATCAATTTGTTTATTTTGGAAACTATTCACAGGTGGAAATAAGCTATTTCTAAAAATTAATATCACAATTATAGGAAACATACAATAAATCACTCTCTATTACAGTATTCCAAATCTTCATGATACTGGATAACTAATATAAATGTCAAGATAAAGTTATCTAAAGGTAACTATATTCCTTTATTTTAAATATAGTTAATATCCCTTTTCCTTGAGACTACTTAAAAGTGATTTATAAACATATTTGTAGCATGTTTTAAAACACTCCCATTTATGCTTCAATATCATTCAAAATTTCTTTTGTCCAAAGCATTTCCCAACTTCTGAATATGATAGACTATACATAGAGATAATATGCATATAGGAGATTGGACTATCTGAGGAGGTTCTGCTCAACCTTTGTGGATTTTTGCCTAAAGCATCATCCAGCAAACTCCTGTGAGAATATATCATTGTCAAAGTAAACATTAGTTTAAATGAAACATAATATGTATTTATTATTCATTGTTAATTTACTGTTTAATAACAGTTACCAATATTAGCAAAAGTTAAAATAATGTTATGAAAATATAGTCTTAAATAACTATAATACATATGACTATATGTGTTATATCTTTAACATAATCTTTCCAGAGCAAACCTATTCACTGTCACCATATTTACCTTGTAAAACTCCCCAAGGGTATTGACGGCCTCTGACTGTCCTTTTTCCAACTTTTACCTCATCTATACTCCCTACTACAGCAAAAGGCAATTGTCCCTAAAAAGTAAGAACAATATTAGTTATGTTCCTTATACCAATATGCCTTACTCTGGTACTCTTAACTTCTCTTATGTAAATAAAAAAGACAGGAATATCACAATACTTTTTTTCAAGTAAGGGATATACCCTGACTAAAATTTTATGACTGGAAGTAAGTATATGTAAGCTTGTTTCTGCAAGCATTAGCCTTGGGCCCATAAACAATTTAAAAACATCTGCTGGATAGAGCCTAAAGCAAAGCATTCTGCTGTAGGAAACAAATAAAAATTTTTTTTTCTAATAGGCAATATTTTTCTCACATTATCTTTACCCTGAAACACAAAGATAATATTAGGGAAATGATGCACAGATCACTTTGAGCTCTAGCATCAGTGTTAAATGCAAAATTATTAAGAATAAGTATGACTACAATAATTAGTTAAAAGAGGTACCACATAAAGTAGACTAGTAAAGATTATCACATATGGCTCAATGTCTGTAAACACAGTTATGGGGTTACTGTGGGTAATGAGTGTCAGGGGAGACTGATAAACGAGGTGTAACCTAAGGGAGACTTGGGAAGACTATAAGCAAAGTGGAAGGGCAATCACAAGTAAAGAGAAGACTTCGAACTGGATGTAGAGACAGAAGTATGCAAGATATAAGAAGTTATATGGATTGTCTGAATAGAAGCACTGGTATACAGGAAATAATCTAAAGTCAAAATTATTACACAACATGCTAATATTTACATATCCAATCTGTCATTCCGCCTTGATGAAAAATTTAATCCTATGAGTTTCTAGATACAAGCGTCCCAAATCTTTAGGACAAGATATAGCAAAAAATAAAACACAGAAAAATAAATGTAAAACTATTAACTCAAGAATCTATTTAGCTACATATACCTTAAAATAAATGGAGTATGAAAATAAGAAAAGAGAAATGAAAGTTATGAAATTAACATTTATCTATTACATGTTGTATTCTAAACCTTACATATCAGGAAGACTCTGGAATTTATACTTCACAAGAAGCCTCAATAGAGAATCAGTGCCCCCACAGTGTGGATAAGCTACTCCCAGAGTCCTGCATCAGAGATTTTTCCTTGAAAAGAAGCAGGCTATAGAGCATTTAATTGTGCCCCCCAAAATACCTGACATCATTTTCAATAGGAAGAGAAAGAAAAGTCAGTGGAGCAGAGGTATGGTCTCCTTTCTGGCATGAAGGAGCTTAGCTGTTATCGTTTCTGTCAAAAAGCTGAGAAAAAAACAACTGGCCAAATTAAATCAATCAGAAGTCAATAGTGGAAAAAAGATAAATAATACTCAATAATATGTAGAAACTAAGTGTTATTTTAAAACCAATGAATGAAAGAAAAAAATCACAAAAAGAACTAGAAACTATATTCAGACAATCAAAAAAAGAAAACAAAACTTATCAAATACAGTAAAAGCAAAGCTAGGAGGAAAGTTTATAGCTGTAAACACAATTAAAAAGAAAGATTTTTAAGTAAAAAGAAGAAAAGTTTGAAATCAACAACCTAATTTTATAGTTAAAGTAATTATGAAAAGAACAAGCAAAACAAGCACAGACAGGAAATTATAAAAATTGGAGCAAAGATATAGGAAAATAATAAGAAAAATCAACGAAAATAAGTGTCGTTTTAATTGAAAAGTCCTAAGTAGACTCACTAAGAAAAGGAATGAAAAAAAATCTGAAATGAAAAGAGACATTTCAACTGATGTCAGAGAAATAAAAAGACTCATAACAAGATACCAAGAAAACTATCACCAACAAAGAAAGATCATCTATAAATAATAGCTAAATCCCTGAAACACACAACCTACCGAGATGAGGTTATGAAGAAATGTAAACAAATCTATAATAACGAATTTAATCAGTAACCAAAACCTGTCAGAAAAGAAAAGTCCAGGACAAGATGGCTTCACTGAAAACTTCACACCAAATCTCCTGAAACTTTTTTTTAAAGATTTATTTATTTGTGCATACAGAACTGGGGTATAGGCCAGAGGTGCAGGGGCAGCGAGAGGATTCACCAGGGACAGAGTGGGGAGCAGGACAAAGTACACTGCTGAGGGGAGCAGTGGGCGGGTCAGGAGAGGTCTGCCACACCATGTGGGTCACCTCCAGGGGAGGCAGGAATCGAACACATGCTGAAGTGGCTTTAGCTTCTTAGTGCTGTGCTTTAACTCGCTGCGCCACCAGGGAGGGCCCTCTCCTGAAACTTTTGAAAAAAAAAAAAAAGAAAAACATTCCCAAATAAGAAAAACATTCACTTAATGCACCCAAACTTACTAAAAGGAAAGAACTACAGACCATGAGAAATACAAAAGTGAAAGCTACATGAAATCTTGCCTTTCTTTAAACATGGATGGGACTGGCAGTGATTATGCTAAACAAAGTAAGTCAGAAGGCAAAGACAAACACCAGATGTTTTCATTCAGATGCAGAACATAAAAAACAAAACAAACTAATGAAACACAACAAAAGCAACAGAAAGTCTTAGATTCTGACAACAAAACAGTGGTTACCAGAGAGAAAGAGCAAAGGTGGAAAGAGCAGGTAGATGGTCAGTTTGTAGTAGTGAATGGTGCTAGAACTTTGGTTGGGGGGGGCAGGATTCAGTGTGGCATGTGCATCACTCAAGATGGAAAGCTATTTTCCTGAGACCAATGGTATGTCAATTAAAAAAGAGATAATTAATAAAAATTAGACCTTTTCTGACACCATGTACAAATACTATCCCAAAAAGACAGTAGACCAAAATTTAAAAGCTAAAATTATAAAACTCTTAGAAGAAAATAGAACATTTCATAGCATTAGTTTGGAAATTATTTCTTAGATGTGACAAAAGTTCAGATAAGAAAAGAAAAAATTAGATGAACTTTTCTACATCAAAATTTAAAACTTCCATGCATGTGAAGAATATATAGGGAACTCCTATAATTTAACAACAAATAAACCATGTGATATAAAACTAGGCAAAGGACAAAATAGACATTTCTCCTAAGAGATACAAATGGCTAATAAGCACATTACAAGATGCTAAACATCACTAATTCTTAGGGAAACACAAATCAAAACCACAATGAGATACCACCTCACATCTATTAAGATCAGCTATTATTTTTTTGAAAAGCAGAAAATAATAAGTATTGGCATGGAGAAATGGAATCTTTGTGTATTGTTGGCAGAAATGTAAAATAGTGCAGCCACTGTGGAAAATGACAGTTTCTCAAAATATGAAACTTAGAATTACCAGACAAGTCAGCAGTTCCACATCTTAGCATATACCCAAAGGAATTGAAAGCAAGGATTCAAAGAAATGTTTGTACAGACATAAAAGCGCAAATAGCATATATTCCCATTTACCAGAATTACCTTGAGTAATGAAACTCATAGAGATAGAAAGTAGGGTAGTGGTTGCAAGAGCCTGAGGGGAGGAGTCATGGGGAGTCACTGTTTAGTATAAACAGAACTTCTGTTTTGCAAAATGAAAAGAGTTCTGTGGATGAATTGGGGGGATGGTAGCACAACCATGCGAATGCATACTGCTACTTAACTGCATACTTAAATGTTTTTAAGGTGGTAAATTTAATATTTGTAGCTTAGCACAATTTTTTAAATTTCTTAGAGGAAAATATATTAATAAATCGTTAAGACATTGTACTGGGCCCTTCCTGGTGGCACAGAAAGCACAGCACTAAGAAGCTAAAGCCACTTCCGCATGAGTTCGATCCCTGCCTGCCCTAGAGGTGATGCACATGCTGCAGCAGACCTCTCCTGACCTGCCCGCTGCTCCCCTCAGCAGTGTTCGTCGATCTGCCTGTCCTGCTCCCCACTCTGTCTCTGGTGAATCCTCTCCCTGCCCCTGCACCTCTGGCCTGTACCCCAGTTCCGTAAGCAGCAAATAAATAAATCTTAAAAAAAAAAAAGACCTTCTACTAAAAAAAGTATAACAATAACCAACAAATTGGGAGAAAATATTTGCAAATCATGTATCTCTTAAGGAACTTTTATCTAATATATGTTAAGGATTCCTATAACCTCATTATTAAAAGACAAAAGACCAGTTTAAAAGTGAAAAAAAGGATCTGAATAAATGTCACCCCCCAAAGATATATTAATAGTCAATAAACACTTCCCAAAAGAGTTAATATAATTCCATTCATATGACATATCCAGAACAGAAAAATCTACAGAGAATAAGTCAGTGCAGTGGTTACCTGGGTTGTAGAAGAGGCAGACAGGCAACAGGGAGGAGTTAAAGAATATGGGGTTTCTTTAAGAAGATGTTCACAATTGATTATGGCAATGTTGCACTCGTGTGAATAGACTAAAAAGCACTGAATTTTATACCTAAATGGGTGAATCATATGGTTCATGTGCTATATCTCAAAACAAGGCTATTAAGAAAAAATTGATTCTTTGTAAACATATTTTAAAATCAAGAAAATAAAACATTTCTTCCACACTGGAATTTGGAAAAACTCTTTTATATTCTTTTTTTGTCAGATACCAATGCCAGCATGCTACTTACAAATTATATTTTCAATCCCACGTATAAAACACAATTGAAGCTTACATTCATTGAGGAGTTCACTGGAGCAATAGTTTCATCATCTGTTGGGAACTGGTATATGTGGATGCCATTACTAGACAATTCACTCATTATCTTACACTTAAATTTATGTAAATCACTTTTAGAAATTGTATCCGCTTTCGCAATCAGTGGTATGATGTTTACCTATTAGTGAGGAACCAAACAAAATCCCAGTATTAAGTTTGGAGTTAATCCGGAATTTTAACATTCAAAATCTTGCAGTGTTCAACAATAATTTTTTAAACTAGATAATCACTGGTTATTACACTTTTCCTTACAAAATTGTTTTCTAAAGTTATCAGTACTTCTGAAGACTAATCTTTTATCAGAATTCAAGTTAAAAGACTCAGTTTTCTTTCTCAAGCTTTTGTATACTTGCAGCTTTCGTAAAATGTTAGTAGAATGAAGTAGTCTAATTCACTGGCAATTTGACTTCTTATTAAACTGAGCACTATAGGCAGAAGATACCATCATCAAAAATCATAGAATTAATTTTGTCCTTCTACCTATCACTTATATGCGTCACCTTCTTGATACAGTCATCTTAGTAAAGGTCTCATTTTCACAAATCCTTGCTCTACTGCAAGGTCTTTGCAGATAGATTTGCAGATAGATCACTAAAAATAATTAATTTTTAGTAAAGTGTATTGGTATATTTGTGTACAGTACCTGACAACAATTAAGCTCATTTGTCAGTCATAAAAAGGAGCTATTTTGTATTACATATTTGAAATTGAAATTTTATCCATAAACTTTTCTTCTTAGTTCTGCAATCTGCCTCCATGCATTTACATCTTAAAAATTAAATCTTTCAGAAAGTATAATAGGCAAAATTCTAAAATATCTCCTGTGAATGTTAAAATAAGATAGCTTGTCAATACGTAGCTACACAATATAAAGTTCAGTTATATTGTATGAATTTGTAAAAGTCAGTTTTATATTGCTTTTGTTTTAGAGTCTGCAAAATACATTCATAATAAAATCCTTGTGAAATGTAAGGTTCCAATGTTGTACGTGCTTTTAACTTTAACTCTAACATGTACAATAATAGTAGCTTCTACAATAAAAGGCAGACACCGCTAAGATAGATTCAAGTCTAAATGCCTTGGAAACAAAACTTTCAAGGAAAGAAGTTTCAGGAGAAACAAGACTTTCTAACACATTGATCTTGGACTTCGAGCCTCCAGAACATGAGAAAATTAATTTCTGTTGTGTAAACTATTAAGTTTATAGTATTTTATGATGACTTTCTTAGGACACTAATACAAATGCTTTAAAGACTAACAAGAAAAATTGGGACATATACAAAAATCACAAGGTTGATAGATTTACTAAACACACCTTACTGTCAATATTCTTCATGGTTAATAGATCAAGAGACTTCAGAGAATGTCCTGTAGGTGAAATGAAGTAAAGACATACATGGATGCGAGAATCATGGTACTCAGAGAAGGAACGTTTTATTTTCAGTTCTTCTTGAAGATAGGCCTCAAATTGAGCATCTAGGTAGTCAACTATTGGTTGGTAGCTGAAAAAAATTATTTAAACATTAAGTATTGTAGATTAATAATATCTGAATATAATATCTAATATGCATCTTTACCATTTAATGGTAGTTTGTAGTGGTAAAAAGTGTGTCCTTCTATAGATAACAATTACAAATGAATAAAAAGACCCATGTTATATGTTGTTTATAGAAATAGCAAAATGAGCAATCAATTCAATGCAACTTGAATCCAATACAGATCTTTCTATGTATGCATATGTTTATGTTTAGAGAGAGAAATGTGCAAAGAACCCAGAATGCAAAAGGCATACTTAAGAAAACCACAGAGATATAGTCCTCAGATATCAAATCTTTCTAAGAAGTTAAAATTAATTAAATTAATTAATAGTGTAGTATTAACAAAAGAGAATTTTTGTACATGATGGAACTAGTCTATGACCTGAGATGGTGAAATTATAACTAACTATGCATTCCTCCACATCTACAGACATACACACCACAAGAAGTGAATCTTACTATAGATAAATTTAAGAAGAATGGTGTCAGCATCATGAAAGTGAATATGTCTCTTATTTTTATGCCCCTTTTATATAACTAAATATTGACCACCATCTTTAAACAAAAGTGCCTCTGTAGGAGTGAGGGCCCTAGCACGATCTGCAGGGAACCAGGGAACCAGGAGTCACACCTCTGTGCCTTAGTAGCGGGTAACAGACCACACAGGCAATGGAACCAGCAAGCCTGCCCCCAACCCCTCTTACATACAGGCAACCTGGAGAGTCCTGGTTTGGCAAATACCCGAAAGAGACACTTGTGTAATTTCAGCAAGGGAGAGGTTCCAGCAATTCATTGGAACAACAACAAAAAAGAATTTGGATACCTTGTACAGAATAAGAGGAACTTTGCCAGAGCCAACCTCCCCAAAGCAACACAGAGTAAAGCTGTGGTGGTGGCCTCTCCCACAGGCTAGGGAGAAGGGTGAGTAAGGGCCAAGCTACCAGCTGTTTGGGAGGGGGCTGGAGAAAGCCACTCTGCTCCAGCAGCACCCAGAGAACTGAGGCAGGAACACCATGACAAAGGAGGGAAGAGAACAGGGAAGACGCAAAGGAGAAAATCAAAGGGCATTAAAGGGACTTGGTCCCTGCTGACTGGGCTGAGGACTTAGGGAACCATCCAGGAGACTCTGGTGGAACCACCTCTAATGACTCCCTCATTGGGCTCCTGGATACTCCCAGTAGTCCAAATGTGAACCTGTAGCTCCACCACTCTGCAGCCAGTTCCAAGTATGCACACCAGACTGTAGGTACAAAAGTAAGATCTGGTAAATGGAGTGAGTTCAGCTATCACACCAAGACCTATGAGTAGGGGAGAAGCCACAAATCAGAAACGCAACCTTCTGGGAATAAAAGAAATTTTCAGCAGTCAGGTGATTTTTAAGAACAAGACCTAGCAGCTAAGAACTCTGCCACCAGAGGGAGCTAAAAGTGTGGATCTGGGATATCGTTATCAGTGAGAGAAGATTAAGCTCTAACAGGATCAATTCAGAGAATATACTACCTAAACACAACCAGCAGGATTGAGGTGCCTGCCACTTCAAATGCAGAAGCATCAATGTAAAAACCCAAGAAACATAAAGAATCCAAGAAACATATCATTTTCAAAAGATAACAGTAATCAAGGACACAGAATTTTGCAATCTCTGATAGTTTCAAAACAGCTTTTAATGAATTTTAAAGGAACTCAAAGAGATATAATAAAGCACAGAAAAACAAAAACAATACATGAGTAAAATGAGAATTTTAACCAAAAGGGTGGGGCAGCGGGGGGTTGGGGGGAGTCATAAGGAAGAACCAAACAGAATTCTGGGGGTGAAAAATCCAATGAATGAAAGAGAAAATTCGAGGGGACGCCCACAACATAGAATGGATAAAAAATAAGACTTACCCAGATGCCAGTTTCAGTTTGGCATTAAAGGCAAATATAGGCTAAAAGTAAAGGAATGAAAAAATACTTCAAGCAAGTGAAAACCAGAACAAAGCAGAGAGTTGTATTTATTCTAGACAAGATTGACTTTATGCCAAAAAGTGTAAAAGAGATAAAGAAGGTCACTATAAAATTACAAAGGGCAAATTCGTCAAGAGAACATAACTGCCGTAAGTGTATGCACAGTGGTGTGTGTGGTGAGTACCAACATCTGAAGTGGGGGATCCTGTACTTCGAAAACACAAACTAATATAAACCAATGTTACCTCAATAATAAGTACATAAAATGAAAATAGAAAAGATGATACATTCATGAAAGGGGGGGGGAGTACAGAACTTTCAGACCTAAATAGCTGATGAAGACAGAAGCAAACATCTTCCACAAAGTAAAGAGCAACTTGAATTCAGCGACACATAAAGTGAATCATACCACATAACTGGGTAGGGTACTCCCCAGAATGCCGGGATATTTCAACTAACACGGTACATTCACAAAAGAATAAAAATCACATGACTATCTAAGAAGTTACAGAAGCATTTGACAAAATTCAACACTTGTTCTTAAAAAAATCTCTCAAAACTAAATATAGAATAAATCCCAGACAATAATGATCATATATGAAGGCCCAGAACTAACACCTAAATTGGTAAGTTTATGAGCACTGAATTATTTACAGTAACCTTATCCTTTAATATTCATAAGGTCAGTATTGGTGTCTCTTCATTTATTTCTGATATTGGTAGTCTACTGGCTCACTTCTTTTGTCTGCTTATTTTAGCTAGAGGTGTTTAATGTTACTGAAATTTAACAAGCTTTTAGTTTTATCGATTTTCCAACTTTATTTTCAGTTCCATCAATTTTTACTATCACCTTTCTTTTCCTTTTCTTGATTTATGATTAATTATTTATCTAGTTTCTTAACATAAAATGTGCATTACTGATTTTAGGTTGTTCTTTTATTTTTTACATAGCTTTCATACTATAACTGTTATAGGGCACCCCAAATCTGTTCCAGAACAGGGGGAGAGGGACACCCCTGAAGCCCCAAAATCCTGCCTGCTCTAAGTGGGTTCTGCCATCCAGCTTCCTTCTCTTCTTCTCTCTTCTCCTTTTTCTCTGCTCAGCTCCACTCTCCTGCCCCTGGGTGGGGCAGGGAATCTGGAACTTCCCTTTTTCCTAGGGACCACCCTGTTACATAACTGTTCATCTAAGCAACATTAAAGGAGCATACTATAGAGTGTTTAAATCTATAGAATTTACTAGCCTGGCATAACTGAAACTTTATATTTTTAACACCATTGACCAGAAATGCCACCATTTTTCTGTGCTTACAACTGTTGATAATCAACATTTCTCTCTCTGTTTCTGATGATATAATAAGTAGGCTCTCAGTTATGCTGACAGTATATTAGTACTCCTACTTATCCCATGCAGTTCCTAAATTTTTATAATTGAATAATAAGAGAACATTACTTGATGAGGAAAAAATTAAAATCTAAGAGGAAAAGTCCATGGGAAAAAACAAGTTCCTTAAAACCAGAAAGCTTTTCTTTGTTAAAATTTAAAAAAAAGAATACTAACCTGGCTTCTTTGTTTATTTGATCACCATATCCCACTGTTTTCACAACTGTCAATTTCAATTGAACATTGCTTTCCTTAAGTTCATATGTCTGAACTTTGAGGCCAACATTTGAGTAAAAATGTGAAGACTTTTTTTCTTTCAGATTAGTATTAAACAAAGTGTCAATCAGTGTTGATTTTCCAATTCCAGTCTCCCCTATAATAAACATAGATACATTATCTGGAGTCATAATATAACAGGTACAGGTTTCATGGGCTCCACCCCCACTCCAAATGCTGGAACTCCAAATCCCATCAGTACCAAGGAGAAGCACGCCAGGACGTGAGGGTGGAGCTGAGCAGCCAGGTTGGGATAAAACCGGACATGTGGGCTCTGGGGGTCTTTGGCCTGGTGGTTCGCAGCTGATCATTTTGGCGCTCAATCGGTTTTCAGCGTGCCGGTGGCGTCCAAGTCAGCAGAACTGGTAGGACATCCTAGTTAACCTGTGTTTCTCTCTCTCTTTCCCTGGGTTATTCCTTTACCTTTCTCCTTATAAATAAATCCATTATTTAACCTTTTGAGTGTGTCCATAATACAATTGAATCGTAAGTGCACGGGTGAAGACCCACAGACAGGCACCCCAATTCACATTGGGGTGCCCTGTAACAATAAGAAGCTGAGAGGGAATAAAGGGGATCCCAAATACTTCCAAGACTGGGAAGTCCTTGAAAGTATACATTTTATCCCGTACTCCTTCAAATATTGACATAACATAGAAAAAATATATAAACAAAGTTTTATCAGATTTTAAAACTAAAAGTGTACAGCATTTAAAGAAACAAATGTCTACGTAATATGGCTAAGATGAAGAGAATACAAATATTAAAACACAGCCTTGATTTAAGATCAACAATGCTTACGATAAATTGAAATGAATGCTTGGGGAAACTCAAATAATACTAGGTTGTCGAAAAAGTCATGACGCATTCTTGCTTGAAAAACATCAAAAAACCAACAACACAGTAATTCAGATGAGAGGTTTGGTACTTACCCACACAGAGAATATTAAAAGAGAATCCTTTGTGAATAGACCTAGTCACCAACTGATCGGGCAGACATTCAAAACCAAAATGACTAAACATTGTTAAGCAGCGGGTATTGTCTTCTCCTTGCTGAAAGGAATAAAGGTTTCAATTAGAAAAAGAAACGACATAATTCGAAAAAGTAATTATAATGATGTTAAAGAAAGTAGAATTGGTTGTAGCATATCACATAAAATGTAAATGAAACAGATTTGTTAGAAAGAAGTCTTTGTTCAGACACAGATTTTGCTACAATTGTTATAAATAGTAAATCTCTCTCTAATCACTCTCAAAGACTGTCTTTCTAAATTTAAAAGTTGAAAATTAAGGAATGACAAGATAGCCCAGTGTATTACTCTAAAATCTTTTTTTCAAAGAAAAAAATTATAATATTCCATTTCAGTATGACAATAATTAAGGAACCCCAATATATGCATGGAAGGAAAACTTCATTTAGAACTTTTAAAAAAGCAATTAAAAACATGTACTTTAAATTGGTTATCTGCTCTCTGAGAAGGCCTGTGCTATTAAGAGAATCCACCTCCAGTAGTACCAAGCTATAACAGAAATCCATCAATATTATGCACAAACTTACCAACCAATTATTTTCAAAGCTGGAAAAAAGTAAATTCCAAGATGGTTTAACAATCTATATTAATCTTACTGCTGGGAATCTCTTCCAGACAACCACAAAATTTCACAAAAGTGAGAGTCCTCATTGGCCAGAGTAGGGTCCCACCACCAGCAAAATTATTGTGACAGAGAAAGGGGAAGAGCTTCCAAAAACCCCCACTTGAATGTTGGGAAAACCAAGTTGGCTTAATCTGACCAGGGAACTCTGTGGGGGTGTGGAACTACCTGATTCAGGTCCTCAAATGATGTTTTCTAACCTAGAATCCAGTCTGCTCACAGCAAGGTTGCAGAGCTAAGTCATAAACTTAACCATGGTGGTATGTGCTGCTGGTCCCAGTTGACCAGAAGGACTGGTGAGAATACCTGGAATCTGCACAACATTGTGAGCTCAAGCTGAGAGATAGATGAAAAGACCTGGTAGTCTGAAGAGCAAGCCAGTAAGCCAGTTTGGCCCAGAAACTTCAGACATAGGTTGAGTCAAGACCACCAAAAAAGAGCCTTTGCCAATTTGGAGCTTCTCTCTTGCTGCACCTGTGCATTGAAGCTAACTCAGTCCTTGCTAAATATAGCAGCCCTCCTAACAAGAGAGCCCAACCAGACCGTACAGGGAAGTACAGTATATCCAACAGCCAAGTTCAGTAGCACCTGAACAAAGTAGAGCCTGTGGCTTTCTCCGCCTTCAGAGCAAAACCACTGACCTCACTTCACCATGGAATTATGTGTACTCTTGCCTTATTTAAGTCTTCAAATAAGGAGCTATGCAGACTTTGGGTTTCATCTGCTTCCCCACCATGGGAGAAAAAGTAATTCATAATCCATCTATTGCTGAGTATATCACCTGGTCCCAATCACCTAGTAAGCTGGGCCAGAGAATCCACACAACCACAGAACCACTCCTTACTTGGGCAGAAAACAAAGACACCAGTCTTATCCTATTGTTCTCTGCTATTGGCAAAAAGTCACTTGCCTGGCCTCAGAGCTGAACAGTACTCAAAACAGACCCTAATAGCAGGCCCTATCTGTCTATAAATTTTATCAGCAAATAATTCAGAACCTAAGAAACTGACTGTTGAAGCTGTTAATGCCAAAGTGAACCTATAAATTCTGGAAGAGGAATCTAGTTACTCAAATGAACACATGCCAACATGAAAAATCAAAGATCAGATGAATATGTGACAGCCAAAGGAAACTAATAAGTTCAAAAATTGACCCTAAAGAAATAGAGACCTGTGAACTATCATAAAAAGAATTCAGAATAATCTTCCCTAAAGAAGTTTAATAAAATATGAAAACACATAAACAGAGATAGTGAAATTAAGAAAATAATGCATGAACAAAAATTTGAAACATTCAACAAAGAAACAGAAATTATTATGTTGAAGGAAAAAAATGTCTTAGGGCTGAAAATACAAGAACTGACCTGAAGAAATCAATGGGGAGTTTCTAAAGCAGACTTGTGCAAAAGAAAGACCTTGGGGATAGGATATTTGAAATCATCCACTCAAGAAATTATTCACTCAAAGGAACAAAAAGAAAAAAAGAATGGAAAAAAAGAGTGAAGAAAATACACATGGAATACAGTATTACATACATAGGAAAGAAACAGTATTTGCATTATGGGATAAAAGACAAAGGGAGGAAAAGTATATATAAAGCAATAATGACTGCAAACTTTCCAAACCTAGGGAGAGAAACAGACATCTGTATACATGAGACCTAGCGGGCCCCAAATAGGTTTAATCCAAATAGTGACAACAAGACACATTATAATTAAATTTTCAGAAGTCAAGAAAATAATTATGAAGCCAGCAAGGGAAAATAGAGGGTTACATAAAAAGGAACATATAAGTCTACAGGCCAATTTCTCAAAAAAAAATTTTCCAGACCAAGAGACAAAATGATCGAATGTTCAAAATATTGAAAGAAAAAACTGCCAACTATTAATTATCGATCCAACTAAGCTGTCCTTCAAAAACAAAGGCTAAATCAAGACTTTCCTAGATAAACAACAACTGAGGAAATTCATCACCAATCACTGCCTTATAAGAAGTGCTAAGTGGATTTACTTCCGCTTCTTTGTGTAAAAGTAAAAATGAACATTATTAACATTTTTTTAAAAAGTAGCATACAACTGCTAGATAATGGTAAACATATAACCAAAATTGGAATGAGTAATATGGTAGTGGTGGTGCGTAATTCACTTACACTCTAATTTAAAAGTTTTTTTTTAAATAGCGAAAATAACCTTAATTACAATAATCTTATCAGCAATACAGTATATTTTAAAAAGTAGTAAATTATAGTATTTATCTAAAGTGTAAGGGAAAGAGTAATAAAAGTGTAAAGATTAGAAATTTTACTGAAAGTTATTTTAAACTAGGGTGTTACGGTATTAGGATATTTTATGTAAGCCTCATGGTAACCACAAGGAAAAAGAAAGCAATCAAAATTATGCAAAAGAATGTTTTAAAGAAGTCAAAGCAGGGCTTCCCTGATGGCACAGGAGTTAAAGACAGCACTGTCACGCTATCTGCAGCCACTGCTGCATGAGGTCGATCTCCAGCCAGGGAGCTGCTGTCTCCTCAGCAGTGTATCAATCTCCCTGCTCTACTCTCCACTGTCTCTGGTGAATCCTCTCATGCCCCTGCACCTCTCACCTACACCCTAGTTCTTGTATGTATAAATAAATAAATCTTTAAAAAAGTCAAAGCATGCATGTTTCTAAAAGACATATAAGAAAATGGCAGGATAAGAAGCAAGGAACAATGGATTTTAAAATAATCAGAAGGTTGGGACTCTCCCTGGTGGTTCAACAAGCTAAAGCTCCATACTATGACATTCTCAGAAGCCACTGCAGCGCAAGTTTGATCCCTAGCCAGGGAGCCGACCCACATGGCGAGGCAGAACTCTCCTGACCCACTAGCTGCTCCCCTCAGCAGTGTATTTCAGTACATCTACCTGTTCTGTTCCCCACTCTGTCTCTGGTGAATCCTCTCATCCACTACACCTCTGGCCTTACCCCAGTTCTGTAAGCATAAATAAATAAATCTTTTAAAAATAATAATAACCAGAACGCAGTTAACAAAGTCTATATAATAAATATAATAAGTCTTTTCTTATCAATAACGACAGGTAAAAAATTCTCCAATCAGACCCTCCCTGGTGGCGCAGCGGGTTAAAGCACAGCACTAAGAATCTAAAGCCGCTTCCTCGTGAGTTCGATTCCCGCCTGCCCCGGAGGTGACCACATGGCGTGGCAGACCTCTCCTGACCCGCCCGCTGCTCCCCTCAGCAGTGTACTTCGTCAATCTGCCTGTTCTGCTCCCCACTCTGTCTCTGGTGAAGCCTCTCACCGCCCCTGAGCTTCTGGCCTACCCCAGTTCTGTATCTCCAATCAAAATACATAAAATGACTGAATGACCATTCAGTGCTGTGCTGCCTACCAGAGGCCCACATTTGCCCTAAAGACACACAGACTTGGTGGAGGGTAGAAGCAATATTTCAAGCAAATGATAATGGAAAGATACTGGATCTTCATGAAATGGGAGAATTAACATTACTTAATTATCCATATTACACAAAGAAATCCTTATGTTTAATATATCCTCTAAAGTAATTCCAATGGCATTTTTACCAAAAGTAGAACTCCTAAAATTTATTGATGGTGACAAAATAATAAAAGACCCCAAATAACCTAAGCAATCTTGAGAAAAAGAACAAAGATGGAAGCCTCATGCTTCCTGATTCTAAAATACATCACAAAGCTATAGGTATGGAATTGGCATTTAAAAAGGCACATATATTAATGGAACAGAATAGAAAGACCAGAAATAAACCCCCGCATACACTGAGGAGGGGTCAATTAATTTATGGCAGCAAAGGAGACAAGAATAGACCTTGAGGAAAGGACAGTGTCTTCCACAAATGGTTTTGGGGAAACTGGACTGCCATAACCAAAATAATGATGCTAGACCACTATTTCACACTATACTCAACAGTCAACTCAAAATGGACTGAATACATGAGTGAATGACCTGAAACCATAGAATTCGTGCAAGGATGCGCAGGCAACAAACTCTTGGACATCAATCTTGGCAAAGATTTTTTTTTGTTTAATCTAACCCCAGAAAAAATGCAGCAAAAGCAAAAATAAACAAGTGAAATAACATCAAACTAAAATCTCCTTCACAATAAAGGAAATCATAAACAAATGAAAAGGCTATCTACAAAATGGGAGAAAACATTTGAAAGTTAATGTCTGGTAGAAGAGCAATGTAAAAAATATATGAGGAACTCATACAACTATTAGCAAAACAACAAATCTGATTACAAGATGGTCAGAAATTCTGAATAAACATGTCCCAAAGAATTCATACAGGTGGCCAACAGGTACACGAAAAGATGCTCAACATCATCTAATCAAGGAAATGCAAATCAAAACATAATATTTGTCTCACTTCTCTGAGAATGGCTGTTATCAAACAGGCAAGTTATATATAAGTGCTGGTGATAGTGCATTATGGTAGGAATGTAAATTGGTGCTGCTAGTATAAAAACAATGTGGAGATTCATTTTTTAAAAAGTAGAGGACCTCCCTGGTGGCACAGCAGGTTAAAGCACAGCACTAAGAAGCTAAAGCCACTTCAGCATGAGTTCGATCCCCACCCTGGAGGTGAGACACATGGAGCCGCAGACCTCTCCTGACGCACCCCCTACACCCCCACAGTGTATTTCAATTAATCTCCCTGTTTTGCTCCCCACTCTATCTCTGGTGAACCCTCTCACTGCCCCTACCCTTCTGGCCTGTATCCCAGTTCTGTATGCATAAATAAATAAATCTTAAAAAAAAAAAGTAAATAGAACTACAATATCCTCCAGCAATTCCACTTCTGAGTATTTGGGGGGGGGAATGAAACCCTAGGACATGTATCAAAAAGATACACATGCCCCATGCTCATTGCATAGTCAAATGTCCATCAGTGAGTAACAGGATAAAGAAAATGTGAGAGGTAGGGAAGAAAGAACTGGACTACTGCAAGCAAAAAAATATACCACTGTTTCACATCATACACAAAAACTAACCCAAAGATACACACATATACACATAGTTTTAAAAAATTTAGCCATAAAAAAACATTAAAATCTTGTCATTTGCAACAATATGAATAGACCTTGGGTACACTATGCTAAATAAGTCAGAAAGAGAAAAACAAATACCTTATGTTCTCACTTATATGTAGAATCTTATAAAAGGTAAATTAAACTAAATTCATAGCCATAGAGATAGATTGGTGGTTACCTGAGGCACGGGTAGGGGGCAGAAAGGAGTGAAAAGGTCATTTATTTCTAGTTGTAAAATAAATATTCCGGGGACATAATGCACAGCTTGGCATCTACAGTTAATTTGAAAGTTAGCAAGAAAGTAGATCTTAGCTGGGTCTGCCTGGGGGTGCAGGGGGGTTCAGCCTCAGAACTAGGAAACAAAAAACAAACAAACAAACAAGTAGATCTTAAAAGTTCTCATCACAAGAAAAACAGCTATGGTGATGGATGTTTATGCATAGTGGTGATCATTTTGCAATATGTAAAAATATCAAATCATTACATTGTATACCTAAAACTAATGTATAATTTAAAGTTTTAAAAAGAATACAGGTTTAATATATATGATGAATTGTGAGTTCTTCTCTACTTATAAAAAGGACATTCTGATCCATATAATCTGAAGGTTATTTTAATGTAGCAATAATAGATTTGGATACTACGTGATCCTCTCTGGCCTGGACTCCCTTGTGACAAGCTTCTCTCATTTTTAAAACTGTAGCTTAAGGAGGTAGCAAATCGAAAGAGCCAACAGCACAAAATATAATCCTTTGTTTTACCAGAGAGGACAAGAAACCTTGGCCTCATTAGCACCAAGTTCTCACCCACAGAGAAAATAGTTCTTGGAGGGATTCCCATAGTGTCATCACCGCTACCTGACAGATGTCTTCTGATGAACCAAAAGTTCTTTCTTAAAGTATTTATTTTTATAAAATGACAATATCTATTTAGAAAACAAACTTTTGGATTCTACTAATTTGGAATTTGTGATCATCCAAAATTGTTCTTGAATTCATCTTTGTACATCAACAAATAAAGCAAATTAACAAGCAAGTAAAGTAAGCATATAAAAATACAAGGTTTAACATACTATTAAAAGGATTATTTCATATATATTTAAGTGAAATTGAAATGTTAATCATAAATTATTTTAATTGTTTATGATAGCAATTGGTATCGTGTAATAGGAGGAAGCTGTCAAGAAGATGAACTTGGTGTGGAATGTAGCGTGGAAGGGAGAGGAAAACAGGAGCGTTGTGAGCCACTTGCTCACAAAAGTGAGTGCTAGTCAAAAGTGAGTGCTAGTCAAATGGTGTGAATGGAAAAAAATAAATCATAAAAATAACTTGACAACTTTAACAGATATTATGATCAGTAATAAGAATATCAGAAGAGAAAACTAGAGAGAAATGTCAGTTTACGTTTGGAAATTTTATTTTACAGAAAGTATAGAGATACCCATTACAGTGTTGTAAGCCAGTGTACCATCAAGAAAAAAAAAACGTTATAAAAAAATTAATTAAAATAAACAAAAGTGGCCCTCCCTGGTGGCGCAGCGGGTTAAAGCACAGCACTAAGAAGCTTAAGCCACTTCCGCATGAGTTCGATCCCCGCCTGCCTCGGAGGAGATCCACATGGCGAGGCAGATTTCTCCTGACACGCCCGCTGCTCCCCTCAGCAGTGTACTTTGTGGATCTGCCTGTTCTGCTCCCCACTCTGTCCCTGGTGAATCTTCTCACCCTCCACATCTCTGGCCTGTACCCCAGTTCTGTATGAATAAATAAATAAATCTTTTAAATAATAAAAATAAATTTTAAAAAGTGGAATAAACATTCACTCCCCAGGCATAATAGTGAGGAGAAAAAAATATAATCATTTGATTCTAACTAAAATATATAAAAACATACATTTTTGGAGAAAGAGAAAACACCAAGAGCCATTGTTAAGCCTTACACCAATACTTTTTAAATAGCTCAATACTCTTTAGATACATTTGACTTTTTGGTCATAAAAAATTCTAAATATCAGTTTTCTCCCATTCACATTTGTGGTTCTCTTCATTTAGTGTAAACTTTTATGTAAAATACCATATATTCTCCTTAGTCTAAAGACTCATCTTAAAAAGGAAGTTTAGTTGGTTCAGTCTCCCACTCAGAAAAGCAATAAAATATGTAGCCCCCCCAATTAATTCTTTCCATTTAAAAGTTACCGTAAGTACAAAATAGTTATCAAATAGTTATCCTTATCAAAATAGTTCTATTCTTCTCACCCAATCTGGGATTTTAATTTGTTATTCTCTAGTGTGAACAGGAAAAACAGCCTTTTGTACTACTAATAGCATCTGCAGACTCAAGAAACAAGCAACAATTATTTAAGTCATCATTGATATTTAACTCCCCAAGTTATAAAAGTTATTTCATGTCCAAAATCAAAATAAAAACTAAAGCCTTTAACATTTAGGTTTTTAGCAGTTTACTGAGTCAATAGTTTGAGCAATCTTTTTGATGTACAAATGGAGAGCTCTGTTTGAAAGATATACTCAACTGTATCTTCATCATCATTGGATATCTGTGGGGACACGCATGTTGGTTTTTCTGCCATTCCAGACTGAAAGAGCTGAAACAAAAAAACAAAGAATCTTTTAAAAATTGCCTTAAAGGCTTTATTCCTACAATATAATTTAAATCAATAAGGGAGTCTTATAAACATTATCCAAAGTTTGGGTTTTCAGAATACACTTCTGTATTTTAAGTATTGGCTCTCTTGCTAGACAAGTTTCTATATAATAAATAATGTATAATATTTGATTTATAATGTACAGTAATATATTTAACGTAAACACTAAAAGGCATCTACAAGAAGCCTAATTCCCTTTGAAACTCAAGAGAACAAAGAGCATTCTTTTTCTATAAAGGACTCCCTGGGCATCAGAAAGGGAGGTAGGGAATTTTGCTGTGAACAGTGTTAAAAGAACAAGGAAGACTTAAAATTACTTAACTTCCTAAGTAGATGAGTAGGGGAGACTGGGAATGTAAGAATGTACTCATTAAAGGAGAACTGGGAAAGCAGAATTTCAAAAAATCTTAGCAGTCTCTCATACACTGAGCTAAATGAATGATGGAAGTCATTTATGAAGCACTAATTCTGAATCGAGCATTGTGTTCAGTGCTCATGGGCTGTATCTCCTTTAGACCTCATAATAGACAGGATACACATATTTTTATTTCCATTTGACATATGAGAAAATTAAAATTCAGAAAAATCAAGCAACTTACTTGCCCAAGATTTCAGCTATGCAGCAGAGGTCTGAACTGACTCCAAAGTTGGTTTTCCTTCTTCTGTCTGGGGTTGTGAACCAAATATTCATTGTGTTTGCAACAGTTTGGAATAAGGGAGGAGAGGTACAGAAGAGCATATTGTGCTGATTACTAAGCAGAATTTTCTGAGAAGGCAATGCTTTCTTACTTTTGAATATAGCAAGAGATACTGAGGACAGGAGGCTTGCTTTAAAAGGAAATATATATATATGTGTCCCGAAGAGAAAAGCAAACAAAATCAAAGAATGTTCTGTAACATGATAGCTTCGCATGATGTATCCTTGGGATTATTCCACTTTAGTATATAGATTTATCTCATCTCCCTCCTAATAATAAACAATGTTCTCTAATAGAGTGTTATGTTCTATGGTATGGTTTGTTCTAGTCTAATATATATGAAGGTTCTAAATTATTTAGCAGAACATTAAAGCTGACCATTGCAGTGATTTCCAACTTTTGATTGCAAACTGTTAAACCACTGAAAAAGGTTTTGTTCTTAAGTTCTTATACTTCTCAGAATTTGAAGTAAGTTGCTGTAAGTTCAGGAATCTCAAGTTCCAGTTTTGCACATGAAAAAGTTTTGGAAATCTAAAGTATACCATGGAGACTGTAGTTATTAATACTTACACGTAAATGATAACTGTGAAGTGATAAGTTATTAGCTTATTGTGGGAATTATAGCACTTATGTATATCAAAGCACCACACTGTATGCCTTAAATATATATAATTTCTGCTTGTCATTTATATCTCAATAAAACTAGCAAATAGAGAAGTAAATTTTTAGGACGAATCTCTGTGCACACATTCACAGCAGCAAAAGGAAAAGAATTCCCATAAAGCATTTATACTGTATCCAAGTGCAATGACTGTCTTGAGTAAAATAAAGTTATGTGATTGGGAGAAATTTGAACTCATTTTTCATGGAACACCAATTTCAATTGCAAACACAACTGACAAATGTGGTTTCCCAGGTTTGATTGTTTCTAAAACAATTTCTTGAAAATTAAGAAAATGTGCTTTGTAACATGAAGAAAAGTAATTGAAAAATATATATTAGAGATGATAAAATTTGAGCTTGAAAGCTAAAATTAGAATTTTTGAGTTATGATGTTGACAGCTCCCTAATACTTAAAAACTTTTCCTAAGATTGGTAGTGATAACATAAAAAGTTTTGATATTGTATACTGATATATGTCAACAATAACCAGACTAGGGTTTCCCAAGCCTATTGGCATGGTGCCCTGCATAATTCTTTGTCGAGGAGGACTGTGCTGTGCATCAGAAGATATGCTGCAGCATCTCTGACCTCCATATAGACGTCAGTAGTAACCCCAAGTGGAACAACTAAGACTGTTTCCAGACGTTGCCAAATACTTCCAAGAGGGTAAAATCACCCCCAGCTGTGAACCACTGGTTAATAACTTTGTAAATAGGTATTTTCCAAGTGACTAAATATGGCATTACCAACATACATGAATTCAAGATCCATGGGAAGAGTGACAGAAAACAACAGATTTTAATATCAATAAAAACAACAAAATCCTGTATGTGTATATATATATGTATGTGTGTGTGTGTGTGTGTGTGTGTGTGTATACAGGATATGTGTATATAGATATGTACATATATATACATATGCATATGTGTGTGTATATACATATTTTTTTAATTGTGGTAACATTGATTTACAACACTGTTGGTGATTTAGAGGTATAGAATCTCCCCATTCAGGTGCTGTTAACATACCATCCCACCACCAAAACACCCCTACTTCTCTACCATAGTCTGTTGTGCTCCCCCACTTTGTCTTCCCTCCTACTCTGGTAGCTTCTACAGTTAGATTTCTAGGGTTTGCTATTAATTTGACTTTATCTGACCCTTTGTTTTGTCTTTCTATATTCCACATATAAGTGATACCATTCAGTATTTGTCTTTCTCCTTCTGACTTAGCATAATCCCTTCCAGTTCCATTCATGTTTTCACAAGTGGCAAGAGTTTATCTTTTTTGATAGCTGAATACTAATTCCATTGTGTCTACATACCACATTTTCCTGATCCACCCATTTGTTTCAGGGCACTTAAATTGTTTTCATAGCTTAAAAATAGTGCTTGAAAATATTATAAATGGTGCTATAATGAACATAGGCATGCGTATTTCTCCTGGAATTGGTGTTTTTGAATTATTTGGGTAGATAGGAGAGAGTTACAATGTCATCCCAATTTTAATATTATGAGGAACCTTCATACTGTTTCCCATAAAGGCTAACCCAGTCTACATTCCCACCAACAGTGTCAGAGTATTACCTCTTCCTCCACTTATGCACCAACATTTATTGCAAGGCACCGTATTTCAAAAGATTGAACAAAGAAGCATATATGCTACTCCAGCTGTCTTATTTCTTTTTTTTTATTGTGCCAAAATATATGTCACATAAAATTTACTATTTTTAAGTTCAGTGGCATTTTGTACATTCACAGTGTTGTGCAATACCTGTGACTAACTCGACAGGATCTCAAGTGCACCTGTCCGCCCGGCTAATGTTGTGCATGGGTGAGCTCACTCCCCAGTAAGGCCAACAAAGAAGCCAGCAGCGCACAGTGCAGTCTGTCCTGCAAACAGCTGCAGCCCACTACCTTGTTTCAAGTAGAAGCTACAAGAAGCCCCAGGCCTGGTACAAACATGCACCCCACTCCCTGTGTCGGGCACATTTCCTGTTTTTCCCTGCATGTACAGACCCTAAATATACCCATGGACAGTCCTAATAAACAGACGCCAGGCTCCAGACCCCAAGCTCTTGCTTCATTCTTTTGCATCTCCCAGTCTCCTAAATTCGGATGAACGAAGCAGTCAGCGCACCCCTCGATGGATTAGCAACAAATACCACCATTATCCAATCCAGAACTCTTCATCTTCTCAAATTGACATGCTACACTCACTAAACAGTAAATGCTCGCCCTCCCGCCCCCCAAGTGGCTGGAAACCACTGTACTTTCTGTCCTCAGAATTTGACTACTCCAGGGAACTCAAATAAGTGGAATCAGGCAAAATTTGTGCTTTTGTTACTGATTACTTCACTTACCATGCCTTCAAGCTTCATCCATGTTGTAGCATTCATCAGTTTATCCTGCTTTTTCTAAGCCTGAGCAGTATATCATATCATGCTTTGCTTATGCAAGCACCTTTCAATGGACACTTGGTTTCTTCCACTATTTTGGCTATTGTGAATAGTGCTACAGTGAACACGGGAATGTGACTGTCTCATCAAGACCCTGCTTTCAGTTGTTTTGGGTATATTACCAGAGGTAGAATTGCTGGAGTCACATTATAATTCCATTTTAATTTTTTGAGAAGTCAAGCTGCACAGCAGCTGTGCTATCTTACATTCCCATCAGGAACACACATGGCTCCAATTTCTCTCCATCAGTGCCAAAACTTGTACTTATTATTTTTTTTTAAGATTTATTTATTCGTGCATACAGAACTGGGGTACAGGCCAGAGGCT